CGAAGGGCGGCCGGTGGTTTCACCTGGCGCAGCCCCGGCCGCTGCCCCCCCCCGCTGCGAATTCGGAGCAGCCGGGTCACCTCCAGTTCTCTGCACGCTCCCCCCTGACACCTCTGTACCCGAGGGCTGCCCACCCACAGGGTCGGCTCGCCCAGGGCCGCGCTCGGGCTCCGTTCCCTCGCCTGCTGCCCTCACTTACGCAATTCTGGTCTCTTCCCCGAGCCACAAGGCACGAAGGGAGCAGAAACTGGCTGCAGCTCCCTTGCTGGACTCTCTCTGGCATGGGAAAGCGGCAGTGGGTGGGAGAGCTGGAATAGCCACTCCTACGGCTCCCGTCCAAAGCCATAAACGCGAAGAGAAGATAGCGACAGGGACCGAGAAGCGAGGTACGCGGGGGACGGCACGCTGCGGCTATGGCCCCCCGGTACCCAAGTCCACCAAGGCCAGCTGCCAGATGACACAGACCAGCCCAGGGGCTGTTCTTAGATGCCAGCACTCACAACCAACAAGTCCTAACTCATTCCCTGGCAGCCCCGCTTTCCCCGTGGTGCTCGACACAAGATGAGAGCAGATTAAAAAAAAAAAAAAAAGTGTTTGTACAATCTAGGGCACAAACCTTTAAAGCTTTTAATGAAGAAAAACCTTTCGGTTCTTCGCTTAAGCCCGCTCTCCTGTCACCCTCTCTACGACTTGCCTCGGTTTATATTGCTCCTGGCAATACACACCATGGCGTTCTAGCTACCTGGCCTGTAGCCTCAGGACCTCTGAATTGTTCTCCTCTTTTAGAAATTTCCTAAATGAATTACCAAGTCCTGTTACTGGGAACTTCTGACTCTTGGCAGGGTATCCTGGAACGATAGGATTCCTGTTCCCTTGATGGATCTTTCGAAAGCTTGGATATGCTAGAAAAAAAGCATTAATATGTGGTCTGTAACAAATTCATCAAAGTCAGATTCTACAATTACCTAGGAAATGTCAGACAACTATGGAGAACTTCTGGAAAGTTAGTGGACAGCAACTTCTCTGCCATTTTGGGGGCAATACAAGGAAACAGGCTACTCATAAAATACAAAGTGCCCTCTTACTGTCCCTGCTCAGAAAGACAGCCCACGTCTTGCCAGCCAAATGGCTTCAGCACGGACTTTCTCTGCAACAGAGGACTGGAGACTGGAGCTTCTGCTTTGTCACTGCTCCCTTCCACGGGCACTCTGGCTCTCCCTCCTTTCCTTTCTTTCACAGAGCCACAGAGCGGGTGCTCTGACCTCCAATTTGCTCTGGAAAATTTTCAGTCTGGTAGGGGAAGGTATTTCGCTCATGTTGTCCCACCGGCTGGAGGCAGTGGTGCCAATCCCCAGGTGTCATCTCTGCAGCACTCGGTAGGGCAAAGAGCAACATGTAGATAAAGCGGGGATTGAGCAACCCAGCGCTGCAAAGGCCAAGCATGCTAGGTCAGAGGTGAGCAGAAAATCAGCAGAAGACCAACAAATACCTGAGCATCACCATGTCACATGGGAACAAGGGGTGAGGGAGCACTCAGGGAGGGGGAGGACTCTGGTCTGTAACAAAAGAACCGAAGGAGGCCAGGAGACATGGCCTGCAACCACCTGGGGAGCTGCCTGCCACTGGGGACTGCAAGGCAGAGTATCGGAGCTGCAGTTTCAGAAGAAAGCATGTGGCAATCGTTTTTCATGTTAAAATGAGGCAAAGTCTCGAGCCTGGCCTAAGAGCTGGGGGAGACGGAAGGAGAGCCAACCTCTCTCTGAGTTGAGACACTGTCCCTGTCTGACATCTCATAAGTGCTGTTTTTTTATAGTGGAGAACGGCAAGTGGAAAGCAATAGATTGGAATCTGGCCTCTGCCAGGTACAACTTACGAGTTGTTGTTGGCTAAGGTCTGCGGCTGTATAAAGAGGGACCTGGGGCTAGGAAGAAGAAAAAACAGAGCGCACAACATGCTCAGAAATAAATTTCGATTTTACTTCTCTATTTTTCAGCCTTTATTGCAACATTGCTCTACTTAAGGCAGTCTTTCAGGCAAGGTCCCCTCTTACCCCCCCCGAGACCTTCCCACACTACCTCTGTGCTCTCTCCCGGCCTGCCTGCTTGCATGGATACTACTCCGCTCCAGAACCCCTCACATTCTCCTCTTTAGCTCACCTCCAACATCCTACCTACAGCATCTTGTTCGTTGATGCAGCTGTCAGCTTCTGGCATTAACTTCTTTCCTCTTTGCCCCTCTCCTGCCCCTCCATGCTGTTTTAAGACTGCAGGTCTGTGGGTGAGCAGCTGTGTTCACACAGGGTTTAGCCTGATGCATCTCTGATCTTACTGATCTGCTAAGAGCTACTGCAAGGGAGATAATACAAGAGACAGGTCTGCAGCAAGAAGCATCAGAATTACAGATAGCCTTGTTCTAGACTATGATCCTCAGTCCACAGACCTTCTTACAAACACTTCAGCGTTTGAGCCGTCACCATTAAACTAACAGCATCTCCCCAAAGCTGGTGTCCTTCCAGGGACAGCTGCTGTAGACCTGGAGCGCATGAACTGGAGAGCTTGCAAGAAATCCTGGAAAAGAAGACAATTTCCAGGAAGAAAATGCCTCTGCAATGCTTTATTGTAGGTCTGAGCCTGGAGCTGGAAAGTTGTGGCTTCTACAGTACAAAAGGGAAACTGGAGAGCAGAATTTAATTCGCGACAGAAATGAGCAGTGAGAATGAGATTCCTCCCTTCAGCTTTTCACCATTCTGATATCCTTCTGCTACCCTCCCGGTACCTATATTGTTTCACACATCAATGTAGAGGAATCTGGACTCTATTGCATCAGAATTTTTTTTTTTCTTGCTCAAAAATGTTGATGTTCTTACTAAGTAATAATTTGTGAGTTATGCTGTCTCCTTCCTCAGCTGACTAGTTCTGAAAAAAAGAAATCATGAAATCACTAGAAAAAAGGTGCTTTTCACAGAAGTGTTGCCTTTCTGCTGCAAATTGCTCTGTTGGGAGACATGCTGCGGAAGGGCTGCTGCCCTTGGGTTCTTCACAGAGTGAGAGACCAGTGCCCGGATCACTTCACCAGGAATGTCTGCATCTCTTTTCCTATCTAAAGCATCTCTCTGAAGAGGTTTTCCAGGACGATCATTAGCAGCCTCTCCATATCTGGCCCAGCCAAGCCATGGCCCTTCGCAGGGACAGAGCTCGGTGAGCCCAGACCTCCGCCCAATCCTCTGTGGTGCGAGCCTCGCTCTGCACCTGTTCCCATTTCAAAAACCCCGTTTCTGGCCATGCATTTGTTATGACAAGTGCAGAAACAATTTAAAAGAGACCAGAGTTAGCTCAAAACCTGCTTGCCGAATGCTAGGGTTTTGGATAAGTGGTTAGTCCCGCCAACAAGGTTCCCATGAGAAGCTGAGAACGGACGTCGGCTCCCTGAGAGTGGCTGTTGGGATTTGAGGTGAGCTGGAGGAAGTTTAAAGAGATCCAGGCACAGCAGGGAGGTGAGGGGGGGAGAAGGGAAGGAGGGGACAAGCTGGGCATCCAACCTCAATTACCACCCTGGCTGACGTGTGATCTCGGTGACTATGGGATTACTCAGCACTGGCCTGGAAAGAAGGTGTGGGCCACACCATCCCTGATATAATCTGTTTCACATGACAGTTTGCACAGACGTTTTATTTTGTTAGGGAAGATCAGCCCGGGCAGGAGTACAACTTTCTGCTGCCGAGCGGCAGAGAATAGGGCAGAAATTTGAAGAGGGCAAATTTAGATCTCCCAAAATATCCTGAAAAACTGCCCAGGAAATTTACCAAGCAGCTTTAGTGTTCAATTTTAGCCAACGGCCGTGGCAAGCTGGAGACCTGTCAGGGTAATGCCAGGAAAGACCAACCACGCATTTCAGCCGGTCACCACGGCAGGAGACCTCCTGCCTGTGGGTCCCTGAGACATTTTGGAGGCAGGAAGCACATGAGACCAATTTTAAGAGTTCAGTTGCAAGGGCCAGTTAGGGCAGCCGCTGGATGTAACTGCCAGATCAGAATGCAGGATAAAGATGCGGAACGAGGGAGTAAACAGCCAGAAGAACAAGCCCTGGCTCACTGCAACTTGCCAGTATTTGCACCCAATACAGATGTTTGTATTTATGAAGGTATGGGCTCCAACTACAACCTCCAGACCCAGCGCTCTGGCCAGGCCCAGCTCCAATTTAATCTCTGGTGCATTCACCAAAGATTTACTTGGTAGATAAAGATGGAACTGGAAATATCTGAAGCCTGAAAACCTGTTAGGGTACTTTGTTCTGGAACGAAAAAATCCTTTTAAAACGTGAAAAGAAAAAGCAAACAAAAAAAAGAAAAGAACGAAAACGTCCTATGATCCACTGACCGATTCTTGAATTCTTCCTCTTTTCAAAGTTCTGAGGTTTGAACATTATGAACAGTTGACTGTTTGAATGGTATAATGCAATACCTGTTCCTCTGGCTTAACGTTACAATATTTCCCACACCGCAGGATTGCTTCACATTATTCTAAGAGGCAGTGTCATTTTCCCTGCAGTGCTAGGTCTTCTTTACTGAGGCGAAGGACACTCCTACTTCCTTTAATTATATGTTTTGTTTTAAATTAATGTCCTTTATTCTGGGGATGAATCACCAGCTTGTAGACAGGTAAATGTGGGAGTAAGAGAGTGAAAATATAAGTTTGATTCCCAAGGTGGGTGTCTTTAATTAAAACGGACATCAAGATTCAGTCTTCCTTCCCAAACTTAACCCCGCCATTCTAAAAACACGCGGATTCCATGTTTCCACGCACGTATCTCCCTCGCCTTCTGAATCGCCTTACGTACGGCCAGCGCAGAGAGATTCCCTATCGCTTGTGTACCCGGACGGTTGCACCATGTCACGTAAAGTAAATACACCAAGACAAACTTTAAGGCCACCGTCGTCCCCCCGCGAGGAGATGGGGAGGGCAGCTCTGGGCTCGCTCGGCTCCCCGGCAGCCGCCAGAAGCCGCAGCCTGCTCCGACTCCCCTTTGCTCGGCTCCCTGCGCGTCCGTGCGGCCGGTTCTGCCCGCCCCGCCGGGGGGATTCACCCGAGCGAGCCCGGGCCGCAGAATAACGGGACCTGCCTCCCACTATGCCGCTTTTCCCCCGCCCTGCCGAAAGGACTCGGAAAACTCCCTCCTGCCTCCACCTCCCCAAGGGCAACGCGGGCGCCGGGCGGCACCGGCGCCCACCTCCCCG